CTTCCAAATAACAATGCCGAGCCTTCTTTTGATCTCCTCTGACTTGTCCTATACCGCCCGGGGTATAGAACTTCATACAGAGGTGGGCCATGGAGATGACCCCTCGAACCTTGTTTATCCCAGGCCGGCCCAAAATAGCGTTGTGAACACATTTGATGTTCACAACTACAAACCTCATTTGCTTTTGGACGACCTGGTCGCCTGTGCCCAGCTCACAAGTTAGAAGAATCGACCCTTCAGCTTCGACTGAGTCCCCGGTAAACCCAGACAGGGGAGTCTTTAGGGGCTCAAGCCGTGTTCGACACAACTTGAGCTTCTCAAATGCCTCCAGGTACAAAATGTTAACACTGCTGCCCGTGTCAACAAGTACCCGGGAGACATCAACTCCACCCATGTCCATAGTTATCACCAGGGGGTCATTGTGATCTTCTCCGGTGGCGGGAAGGTCCCGGTCAGTAAAAGTGATCGGTTCCCGTCTTTCTTGTTTTGACCGGGGATTGAGGGCTACCGTCCCCACGTAGATCTCTCTCCCCCACTTCTTCCTTTGGGAAGCAGAATCTCCCCCTTCCGGTCCACCGTAGATGACCTGTAAATGCTCCTTGCCGGCTGCTTTCTTCTTCTTGTTCTGTTCGGCCGGCTGTCCTTCAGGCCTAACCCATTGATTCTTCTTTGGTTTGGCCTGAGCCAGGTACTCAGGATCAATCTCCCCGGCCTCGATCATCTGCTTTATTACTCCTTTCACACTGTTACACTCTGCAGTGTTATGGGAGTCAGTTTTGTGAAAAGAGTAATACTTCTCCGTCCACTGTTTGGGTCTTCTCTGTTTTGACCGGCTTTACCTCCATGATTTCAGCTTTCACCTTACCGGGCAATCCAATCTCCTTTTTCAAGGAAATCTTTCCTTTTGAATGGCCCTGCTCGGCCTCCCGCTTGGTTGACACCTGTGCCTCAGCGTCAGCATAATCCCAGGCCGTGTTATAGGCCTTTTGGTAGGACTGGGGAGGCCTCCTGCAGAATTCTTTGTAAAGCTCTCCAGACCGGAGCCCGGACACAAGGAGGGACATGGTTGTTTTGTCGTCCATCTCCTCCACCTTGTCAACTTCATCCTTCCACCGGGTAAGGAATTTTGTCAGATCCTCGTGCTCTCGCTGCCCGGCTGTACTCAAGTAGGTGAATTTTTTCCTCTTGGTACAATTTTCCTTAAACTTTTCTTGAAACACCTCAGGCAGCTCATCGAAAGAATCGATTTCACCGGCCGGTAAGTTATGAAACCACTCGGCGGCGCGGCCGCGGAGGGTTTGAAAGAAAAGCAAACATTTCTCATCCCCGGAAAGACCCATCATCCGCCCACTTTGATGGAGGGTTTTGACGTGAATTTCCGGGTCCTCCTTCCCGGTGAACTTCTGGACTTCAAGTTTCGCCTTCTTTGGAAACGGGGTCTCATGAACCCGGTCTGTGAACGGAGATTCGTTCAGCAGAATCTTCTTCTTTTCTTCCCGGTCTACTCGGCGTTGCAGTTTCTCCAGACGTGCCTCGACTCGGCCCACACGATCCCGAGGTTGTTCAACATGAGAACGGGTCAGATGCCTGGGGTGGCTTTCGGCTTCTTCCTCCCGCGGCGCCCGGCTGTGCTGGGGCTCATCGCGTGGGGGTGGTTCCGTTCGCCTGGTCTGACCAGGTCGTCCGGCTCCTCTCCCCACACGATTAAAGGCACTAGCCGGGATGGTTTCCACTCCCAACCGTTCCTTTGCTGACCTGTTTTGATTTCGGCCATCGTGTCCCAGCCTTTGGAAGGCCGACCTCCTAGATCCTTCTGGTTGAACATCCTTTCCCTTCAATTTTTTGAGCGCTTGGGGGACGTCCCAATCCTCGTCCTTGCTGTGGACTGAACGCACATTCCCGTCCAAGGTCACCTTTGTTTGTGACCTACGGGACCGGCTTCTTCTAGACCGGGATGGACCTGCTTTATCCATCTCCCCGATCAGGTTTGTCGGGACGATCGGGCGAATGACGTTAGTTTGAGGCGAAGATTGTGGATACAATCCCGGATAAAAAGGTGAAAATCCTCCCGGCTGCTGGAACATGGACATGAAATGTCCAAAATTCTGAAGAGCCTGGGTATACATTGGATCAAGGGGTCCGGGAAAATTTGAAGGAAAAACAGGAACAGGGTTCACGGGGGAAGTGAATGGGATAGGTGGTGGAATGGTGATAATGGGGGTAAGAGTCTGGCTTGTCTGTTGTGTACTTCCTCCCGGGAACGAAGTTACGTTCTCAGCGGGAGTAGAAATTTGTGAGATCACGGTTTCCTGATTACTGGCCATGACTTTTTGTAATGCGTCCCACGGTCGGCGCCAATTTGATGGTGTAAATTACCACGCAAACACTAAGTAAAAGTAATCGGAAGGGCTGTAGGTGGAAACACCTGTAACCCGGTTTGTTATTGATAATGCTGGGACTATTACAAAGTACAAGCCGTGAAGGTTTATTAAAACATACCTCACAAATGAGGATTTTAGGGGTATTTATAATAAAGCCAAGCACGTCAAGCACGTCTCTGGTTATCCAACCGGTCAGCCTTCTGACCGGTCCCATAGAGCACCTGGAGAGCCCGGTCTGAGGAAAGTGCGCTCTGCCACTTCGACCACCACCCAGTCGAACGAACCAACCGGGTGGCATCCATGGGTATTTACCCATCAAGTATAATGTATTTTGAACATTAATATCAACATTTTATTAAAATATTATTAAGTTTCACTGCTATGTTGCAAATTAAAAATAATCATACTCTTTTTTAAGTTATAAAACGTATATTGATGGTGCATTTAGGAAAAAGTTTGCAGTTATTACACAGAAATAGTCTACACCCGGAAGAAATGAAAAACATCAGTCGATATGTCCGAGTGGTTAAGGAGACAGACTCGAAATCTGTTGGGCTTTGCCTGCGCAGGTTCGAATCCTGCTGTCGACGTCTTTTTTTTATTTTTATCAGACAGAAATCATAAATACCTATTTTATTGTTTTTTTAATTGTACTGTATTTTTTTGAATTTATTTTTTTTTGTATGAATATGTGTGAAAAATTAAAAGTTTTTGTGTCTTCTGGCGTGTAACCCGCCACCTAGTCCCTCCGTCTGCCACCTGTTGTCGCTCATTTCCGCCGCCCGCCGACGTTGCCGTTTCGTCGCGATTCAATCCCATATCCGCACAACCCACGATCACACACTGATGGAAACCCTCTTGGCATTTTCCGCAGTTCCTCCGTCTCACCCGGCGAGATTCCCTCCGGCGAAGCTGCTCGCCGGAAGGAAGTGTCCGGCGTTCGGAGCGAGAGCATTCTCCGCCGCCCAAAGCACCGAGCCGGAGATTAGCGACGCTGTCAGACCGGTTTACTACCCCACCCCTCCCAATCGCCCTTCTCGAACTCCTCACAGTGGGTAATTTACTCCCATTCCATCTTCATTAATTTACTAGCTAGGGATTGGATTTGAGTGGCAATTTATAAGATAAAGTTTAAAGAAAGTTGATTGGATTTCCTTTTTCTCATCAAATTTGGCATTCGAATGTTGTCTCAGATACCATTTTGATGGGACTCGAAGACAGTTTTTCGAGGGATGGTTCTTTAAGGTTTTGATTCCGGAATGTAGACAGAGTTTCTGCTTTATTTACTCTCTTGAGAATCCTGCATTCTCTAAGCCATTGAGCGGACTTGAAGAGCTGCAGTATGGACAGCGTTTTACCGGATCTGGAGCTCAGATTCTTGGTGCTGATGATAAGTATATTTGCCAGTATACTCCAGAATCTAAGAACTTCTGGGCCGGTACTTTTCTCTGTTTTTGATCCCTTTTTTTTCAAAAAATGTTTTTCTGAATTCTAATCTATTTATTCATTATGATATTGTGCGTTAATAGAAGATTGAATTCTAGTTTCTTTCCAACCCGAATTCTATCACATTCAAGAATCAAGGTGCACAAATGAGTTGATTAAGTAGATGATTGAATTCAATCACTCATTCTGTTGAATATCTCCCTTTTGACTTCTGTTTCTTCGTATTCTTTATCCCAAAATTTTGTCTCTGGTTGATCTGCCCGGGATATTTTGTTTTGTTGAGTAAGGGAATTGCTTTTGATGTTTCGTTTATTCTTTTGGTGCATTGCATGTTGCTGTTGAAGAACTTTATCATTTTTTAGGAGAAAAAAAATCATCTGCTGAATTATTAGAGCGTATTTCTTTGTGAACAGATGGGCATGAGTTGGTTCTTGGAAACACTTTTGTTGCCCAAACAGCTGCCAAGCCACCAACTAAGGAGGTTCATCCTCAGGTCATTGCATTTACTTGGTTTATTCATTCACCAGCCTGATGTGGACGGGTAAAGAATTATAATTACGGAGTAACTACTAATTACAGATATGTTTTTAAGGCTGAGCAGTTGTGGTTTTGTGGAACATCAATATCCAGCACACCTTCTCAGTTCTCACCCTAAAGGCTAAAAAGTTATGTACTATGTCTTCATTTGAGAAAAAACGTTTAGCCTTTTGGATATTTTTTAACGGTGCATATTAGCCTTGAAAACAACAATGCTAAAAGCTACAGTTGGATAGCATTTTCAAAATGCTGAAGCTAATGCCAAACGAAGCCTAGATAGTTAGAGGAATGCATATTTTGCTTCTTGGAACCTTTTGGTTGTTTTGGTAATATGGTTTTAGGTGTTTAACAGATATGTGACTATATACATACTTATATTCTCTACAATAAAGTATACTCTTGAGAACGTCTTGGAATTTAAATGAGTTATGAACAGGAATTCAATCGCCGTGTTTTAGAAGGGTTTCAAGTTACACCAGTATGGCATCAGGGATCCATTCGTGATGATGGAAGGTATTCCCCTCTCATTTCCGAACAATGTCACGACGAATGCTAATTGAAACATTAAGTGGAGTAGTAATCATTACTTAAAGTATGAAAGATTGTGTTATACAATGTAAGTTTTTTTTTGAACCATGTATTTAAAGGTTATATCTTTACCTCCTTTCTTAATTCTAAAACTTCCATCAGTTTTCTGTTCTAATCCAAAACTGCCTCTTCATTTGGTGTTTTTTCTTTGTTGAGTAGTTCACATTGGCTGTCTATGGTTTGAGTAAACCCCACCTCGTATTTTGATAGAACCCTTTTGTGGGTGTTTCGTGGAAGTCTAAACAGAGTTTGGATTTGATATCTTCAGATATCACAATCATCTCAAATGGGTGTGTTTCGATATCTCCCAAGTTTAGGAGATATTAATCCAGGGGTTTTGATATCTCCCTGGCTCCCTCACTTGCTGGCAACCTACCCCGCCACTCACCCATCGTTGCCAGCCACCCCAGCACTAGCCATTCCCCCTTGTCACTAACAACCATTATTTCAGATCTCTCAAAACACTTTCTTTTCAAATTTCAGAACTCATATCATTTCTTTGATATTTTTGAACCAATATCATATCCATCCCTCCAAAACTCACCAAATGGGCCTGAATTTTATATTTTATGTGGTATCAAAGCATGATCCAATGGTGGTTTGTGAGACATCAATCCACTATAGGTCCTGGCAGCCCATTTGAGCCCATTTATCTACTCCTTTAGTTGTTCGGCCCTGCTTGGGTAGTCTAGCGGAGTTGAGTGTGGGATGTAAGTGTGAGGTAAACTCAACCTAGTGATAAATGATGTTCTGTTTGACATGACTTAGCTCGACAGGACAGATTATGCAGAAACAGTAAACACTGCACGTTGGGAGTATAGCACTCGCCCTGTTTATGGATGGGGAAATTTGGGGTCAAAGCAAAAGTCAACGGCAGGTTGGCTTGCTGCATTCCCAGTGTTTGAACCTCACTGGCAAGTTTGCATGGCCGCTGGACTTTCAACAGGTATTGACCAGTTCCCTCTCTCCAATTTCTAGAAGATGGGTTGTTTTGTTATTGGTTTTTTATTTTTCTTTTCTTAAATATATATTTTGATCAATGACGTTTTATTCATACACTATTTTATATTGCACTACAATGTCAATAATGCGCACACATATCTTACATGGATGATCAAAGGCATACTAATTCCTGAAAGCTTTGTTTCCAGGTTGGATAGAATGGGGTGGTCAGAGATTTGAGTTCCAAAATGCCCCATCATATTCCGAGAAGAACTGGGGAGATAGCTTCCCTAAAAAGTGGTTCTGGGTCAGTTCTACTTTACACTTGTGTATTTAGCAATATGTGCCTAATATATGCCAAACCATAATTTGTGATGAACAGAAGTACTCCATACTGTTAATGTTGAATTTGCAGGTCCAATGCAATGCCTTCAAAGGTGCTGATGGAGAAGTCACTTTGACGTCCGGTGGTGGACTAAGGAAAATTCCCGGACCTGGATCAACTGGCACCTATGAAAATGCTGCATTGGTATTTTCTTGCTTTAAGCTTATACCAAGGACGCTCTAACTATTATTCCCTCCATCCCAAAATGAATTTCTCATTCACTATTCAGTGTGGCAAACTATATTTTCTTCCCTTACATATTGATTATTTGATAAAATAAAATAGTCAAGCCACCTCTTGTTTGTAGTAGAACTTTTGATGTGTAGCAGTTTTTTTTTAATTCTACACTAATTTTTAAACAAATTGAATTGAAAATAACTTTAGTCAAACATCGTAGACCGCAATGGGAACCTATGGGACAGAGGGAGTATTATACAGTAAGGATTAGTGCTTTAGTTTTATAAAAACATTGTATAAAAAAATTGCAGATAGCAGTTCACTATGGAGGCGTCTTCTATGAATTTGTGCCGTGGAATGGTTCTATAACTTGGGAAATTTCTCCCTGGGGTCACTGGTACATAACTGCAGAGAATGAGACACACAAGGTAGTAATTTAATACCTTGTTTTTATTCCATGTTTGCATTTTGGTAAGTTTATTCAAATGCAAAAAAAAAAGTATGAAGTTGTGGAAGGAAGAACAAGTGACCCTAAATAGGTTCTTGCGATAAGTTGGATGATTAAGAAGCATTATATAATATGGGGACTATAATGTGTGAGCAGGTGGAAGTGGAAGGAAGAACAAGTGACCCAGGCACGCCGTTGCGTGCCCCTACTCTAGAGATGGGTCTTGCCCCCGTATGTCGAGACTCTTGTCGTGCAGACCTACGACTCCAATTGTGGGAACGTGGGCCCGCTGGCGCTAAAGGAAAGGTAACTTTGCTTCTTTTTACCCCCCACCCTCTTTTACTTTTCATTCTGTGAATTAGTGAGTAATTAATTATTAGTCATTCTAGTCTGGAATATTGCAAGTGCTTGTTCGTCAATATATAGCTTCAAGCGTTTTGAAAAAGCCATCTAATAATAGCGTTTAGCTTTACATTATTAAAAAAATTATTCAAAACATCAACGTTAATTGAAAAATGTCGCTCCCAAACAACATCTAAGTAAGGAGAGGAGTATTTGTCTTTGATTCGGAGAGCTGATTCTGCAGATTCTCAATCTGACTTTAAATTCTATAAATGGTCTCTAATTACAGACGGTTTTCCATATTTGGTCTCCAATTATAAGATATTATGTATATGGTTCTCAATTTATGAAAACTATTCCATCATCTCCGATGGAGCCAAAATTTCACCATTTTTTGGCTTTGGGGTGTGATGGAGTAAATCAAAATGGATCTCTAAACTATCTGCGCTTCTTTAATTAATGAAGTAGCAGTTAGTCAAGCAATGCAACTTTCAACGTTGAGCCGGGGGTCTCTTTGGAAACAGCCTCTCTACTTTCGAGTAGGGGTAAGGTCTGCGTACACACACCCTCCCCAGACCCTACTCTTGTGGGATTTAACTGGGTTGTTGTTGTTGTTGTTGTATTCTATAAAATAGTCCTTTAGGCCAAATATGACTGTTTTTTCCACAAATAGTCTCCGAAGGACCGATTATGGAATAGTTTTCAAAAGTTGAGGACCATTTATGTGATATCTTAAATTCCGATTTTCCAAAAGTAATGGATTGTTTTGCTTGATTCTCCATAACGGGCAAAGTTTTGGAATGATTTGTAGAGCATCTTGGAGGTGACGAGCGACATGGGAGGGGTAGAAGTAGGGGGAGGGCCGTGGTTCAACACATGGAAAGGTAAAACAGACACGCCGGAAATTCTCAAGCGCGCCATTAATACACCGGTCGACATTGAATGCTTGTTTGGCCTGCTTCCTCTCTTCAAACCGCCTGGCTTGTGACTTTGTGATTTTAAACAAATCATCTTCCTCTACAACAACTCATCTTGTAATTTGCCCTTCTTCTTCTTCTTCTTCTTCTTCTTCTTCTTCTTCTTGATGGAGTACACATACTTTGGTTGAAATCTTTGAAATAAAAAAATAAAATGTACATCCCCTTTAGGGAGTTGCATACGCATTGTTGATATGACTGTTTGGTTCAATAAAATCTTCAAAAGAATTGAAAATAGGATGTAACATAAGCATTATCTATGTGATTGAGTGGTTAAATAATGAGTTCTCTTAGGTAGTGTTTGGATAGTGGAATTCATTTCAATTTTTGAATTTCAATTCTATAATTTGAAATTCCATAATTCAAATTCCATTTTGGTGTTTGGCAAACACAAGAAATTCAAAATTCATAATTTCAAATCCAAATGCTGTTTGGGAAATTCATAATTTCAATTCTAGAATTCAAATTCTGATGTTGTTTGGCAAGTACTAGAATTTCATTTCAAATCTTTAATGAATAAAATATTGTAAACATAATCTCAAATAACATAATGACCAATTGTTTCAT